ACTTTCAGAATACGTTTTATTTCGAAAGTTTTTTTCGGATATAAATATAGATTTCGATATTCATCTATACTATAAAATGGCAAGATCAATAATGAAGATGAGACAGATAATTAATTGAGGATAAAAGCGAAGAGTAAATTAACGTGGAACAAGAATTTGAATGAATTTAATAAATCTCAAAAAAAAATCTGTTGGTACTTCGTCGATCATATGTATCAAGTTTATTTTGTTATCATACGATTATTCTTATAACATCTGTTGAATTTATTCATTTTTTAAATAAACGCTACTGATGTAATCTATATCAAACAACTATACAAATCATACTGCAACGTCCTAAATTGTTTGTTTTTTTCGTACCGAAACCGTACCTAAACTTTCAGATGGTTTGAGTTTTAAGTTAGGTGTATGTCTAATCACAAGATATGCACTTAAAGAAATAGTTTGCTAAATTTGTTGATTATGTTTCTTACACATTTAAGTTTAGTTATTGAAGACAAAAGAAAATTTTCAGTAATTTTAGTTTATCTAATTTGAGTTTTTAGTATAACTCTTGTTATAACTTATCATAAAATAGTATTACCCATATAATAATAAGTATATTAATAAAATACATACTTCTTGTCGAATGTTAACTTCACCAACATGTTCAGCTAATTTTTTAGCTTCTAAATTCAATTTTAGTTTTTTTTAATTTAAAATTGAAAAACATTTTATGAACATAACTAACCATCAATTTTTGGTACTGGTTCTGAACCTTTTTTTGCATTAGCTGGTAAATCACTTGATTTACTTGATGTTGGAGGTGCTTGACCAATTGGAGAAAAATTTATCCAAAACCACATTGGAAATATAAAAATAGCACTAGATACAATCTAATCAATAAAGAATAAATATTCATATGATATTAAACAAAAATATTTTATTCACTTTAATAGAATCAGGACATTTAAATAATCCCCATGAAAGTTCACGTGGTGTAATTTCTCCATAAAATTGTCTTGTAACCCATTTTTGACAAGCAGCATGTGCTACAAATGGTTTATTGTCTGCATTATAAGCTAATTCAATAGTTGCCATATGACCCCAATCCTTGATTAAACAAAAATATTTTTTTTTTTTCTTATTTTTCAAAAACATTTTTACCGGATGTTTTTCATCAAGCATTTCAAATGTTCTTGTACTATCTTCATTGAATGCTTTATCAAGAACACCTAAACCACAATCGGAAAAGTCTCTAAAAATAAATTTGAAAAAGTTGCAATTAAGACAACAAATTAACGAAAAGTTTTTTTTTTTCTTCAAAATTTACTTTGCTTGTTTTTCTATTAAATTTTTTTGATAAGCTTCATGACAATATGGTGCTAATTGTATATACATCATATAGCAAAGTAATGCCAATGGAATTGGTTCAAATGAACGTTTCCAAAGAACTTTTGCTAGTTGATGTCGATTCATTAATACAGCATAAATAATTAGATGTCGAAGAGCCTATTTTAAACAAAAAACAACAACACAAAATTCTTTAAAAGTACTAAACAAAAAAAAAAACAAGAAACAAGATAATTTTACTTTTTTTTCTGCTCGTATTCTTTGTTTTTGAACACCCTTTTCTGATTTATCCCCAAAATAAATTCCCATTGCATTACAATCCATTTCATGTTTACTAAAAAAATGACTAATATCTGTTAAACGTTTAACAATTTTATTAAGATCCTTTTCAACAAAATCTTTTGATACGTATTCTTCATCCTATTTAATAAAAAAAAAAAAAAACGTAAATATAAACAAACAAGAACTTTTTCTTGTACTTACTCCTGTCTGACCAAGAATTCCTTCAATTGATGTTGTTGTAAAAAATTCTTTATCTTTAGCTTTATTAAATAAATCAATTAATTTATCTGCTTTTAAATAACGATGTAAGACAAAATCTCGATCAAGAAATAAATCAACAAAAGCTTCAAGTTTTTTTCCAAGTATAGCTTGATCAAATAATTCTGGTTGAATAGAATATTTTATATTATCATCACGTTGAAAAATTTCTGATAAAGCTAAATCTGGTGCATTCCAATCAAGTGTTAATGTAAGATTTCGTTTTAATTGAGCATTTATTTTACTACCAGTTATCATTTTTTGTGCTAAATATAAAAACTAAAAAAATATGAAGAAAATAAATATATATATGTTTTATACATTGTAAAAGTGCTAAAAGAATAAATTTATGATAATCATTTAATGATGCTGTTGCACTATTAATATCAATAAATGTTAATAATTTTCTATTTTCTTGTTCTTTTTTTTTAACAATTGCAACAATTGATAAAATAAAATCACGAATTTCATTTCGTTTAACATTATTATTTCTTAATAAAGGATAATCATCAAGTATACGTCGAGTTATTTCCATTTTAAAATGTCTTTTTTTATTTTATTTTTAAATTCTAATTAAAATTTAAATTAAATTTTTTGTTTTTTTTGAAAAATAATCTTCTATTTTTTTTTTTGTTTCTTTCTTACTTAGCACAAATTTCATCATAAGCAAATGCAATTATATCAGTAGCTGATCCAGTTCCTTTAAAAATTACGATAGGAACTTCATTTTGAATTTTTCGATATACACGTTCAATAGTTCCTGGTGAACCACGAGCTAATGTACATACCATTGGAAAACCATCGTCACCCCATGGATTAGATGTTACTGCTGTAGTATCTAAATGAAATCGGTTTTTTTTTCCTATGAAAAATTTTATTTATACCAGTTGTTTTTGTTGTTGTTGGCGGTGGTGGTGGTGATGGTGATTCAACGGGAGATGCAGTTTGTTCTTGTGATTTGTCTTCATGTAAAAAATTTTCGAAACGATCACGAAATTTATTTGTAACACTATCAGGTGCATCAGTTAGTTTTTCTAATTTTTTTCCACCAATATCAATTGTAATATTTTTTTTTGTTAAATTATTAATTGAACTAGACTTAATTGGTTCTTCACGAATTATAATAAAATGTGTATGATCACTGTTTAATGATATTTGATCACGTTTACGCATTGGTACTCTTATTTCCTATTAAAAATTAAATTAAATTAAAATAGAATGACTAAAATAAAATTTTCTTAAACTTTTTTTGGTTTCTCTTGTGCTACTTTGAAATCAATAAAACCTTTAATTTCATCATCACAAACAATTCCAATTAAAGTTAATTTTTTACGTTTTTTTGGATCACGACCCATCTGTATTGCCCATGCATCATCAGCTCGTCTTAATGTCTATGTTTGAATAAAACAAAAAAAAATAAATAAATTTTCTTAAATTTTTTTCAAAAAAAAATTTCATACAATTTCATCTCGAAAAGCAGATCCAAATATTTGTGGAAGACCAAGATCAAAACCATTTGTTATAAACCATATTTCAGAAGCATTTGCAGCCTAAATTAATCAATATTTTTAAATTGTATTTTGTTCGAAATATATATAATTGTTTTCAAAAATAAGAAAAAAAAAGCTTTATGTTTTATGAAACAGTTCTAGACTTTATTTTTTCAGTAATTGTTTATTGTTAAGTAGACAAAGAAATGACAATCTATTGCTTGAGAGATAAAATCATGCAGATAGTTTAATATATGTATATGAATGATTCACTTACACTTCTTATGCCAGTTTTTGATGCTTCAATCGTTTTAAGATTTTTAAATATTTTATAACGTGATATTGCACTAAGAATAGGTATAACTAAATTTGGTGCTTTTAATTTCCATTCATTAGCCATAAATTGACTTAGAATAGTTAAGTCAATATTACCATCAACATAAAGAAATGATCGACCCTAGAAAAATTCAATTCGATTAAATAACAAAAATATATTTTACAAAAAAAAAATATTCTTAATAAGAAAATGTTCACTTTATATATACTATATCTATAAATAAAATTTACCTCATTAGAATAATCACCAAGAGAATCTTCAAATTTAAATGTTCCCCAAATACCTCCATATTCTTGTTCAATAATATTATAAAATTCATCTTTATTTGTTGTTAATGATGAATCAGGAGGTGTTTTAAGTGATAATAATTCTTTCTCACCACGAGTATTTGCATTATTTACCGTATCTTGCGTCGTTGACGCAAGCATCTAGAAGAAAAAATATTTTTATTGGGATACTAGCAAATATAATATAAATAAATATGATAATTATACCGAATAGTCGGTTATTTTAGTAAATCTAGTTCGAGTATGACAATCGATGATTTAAATGAATAACCAATGAAAAGAATAACTAATGTCTTTTTTTTTTCGTTCTTTTTTTATTATAGCAGATTTGCGTCAATGATTTTTGTTGTCCATATGTACATATACATATATACGTGTATTTCACAATGACAAACCAGTCTCCTTTGTATTTATGGCTTGTTCTTTCTGTTTTTTTTTTGCTTTGCTTCAATCATCGATTACCTTTCTATCTGTATATCTAATGAAATAGTATTTGTGTGATATAAGACGAAAAAAAAAGAGAGAAACACAGAAAAGAGCATAAAAGATATGCATAACAACACTGATAGGTAATTGTGTTTTTTTTTTGAATTAACGAAAATAGTAGATAAAACAAATCTATAAATCACATTTTTTTTTCTCTTATTTCATTATTTTATTTATAGCGAATCATTGTATTTAATTATTATCTATTCTGCCTTTCGTTTCTTTTTGTATTGGAAAACTGGAACTTTGACTCACAGAATTTTCGGGCCAAGTTAAAAATCCTGACGAAATTTGGACCAGCATTTCGATGATCTCATTGGTTTCCTCTTCTCTTCGAAAGCAATCTAGTTACTAGATATCGTAATACTGAGAAGGAAATGATAATGCTCAACAAGATGGCACCATGATATCGTTGTGATGGAGATATGAGCATCGCATATAGATATGGATGCGGGTTTCAGATGTAGGTTATGGGTATTTTTTTTTCGTGAGGATATTCAGTTCAACCATATACCCATCTTCATATCATGTTGCCGAGAATTATGTCGTCCTGCTCAGAACTACAATATCTAGTAACTAATAAATTTAACTCTGATACAAAAGTACGATGAGAACTTAGTATTGATCTCAAAAGAAGTGTTAATGGAATGATGAGCATTTTGGTTTTTTTTTTATAGCTCTTAGAACAGTTCATTTTATCTAACATTGATTTGATTAAACATGACTGTAAATGTCAATCACAAAATGGGCTTTGTCAATTTTTTTTCTTTCGTGTCACCTTGTATCGTTATTATAAATATCACATATGCAACATTTTTTTCTTTTTTATATGTCCTTGCAAAAAAGAATGCAACAATACTAATAATACAGTAATGTCTATGAAATCGTCTAATAGTCTATTTTTTCGCTGTACCAGAAACAAACTACTTTCGAAAAATATGCCAACTTATCAATCTTTTTCAACAAAAAAGAAGCCAAGCAAATGACTACAGAGCAATGATAACGATATCTATTGAAGTAAATATAGAAGAAAAAAAAGAATACGTTGCATATAGGTTTCTCACACTAGAAAAATGCTAAATTTTAATATTCTTATTTGATATGACACTTTTCAAAAGGATATTTATGGAATACATCTTGAAGAAAAAAATATTGCATTAAGCTTGATCAATAATGGAATTATACTCTAGTGATTGTATTGAATGCAGAATATACAAACGAATACTTTGCTGTTAGTATATCACCAAAACTTTTGGACCTTCTAATGCCTTAGCGTACATTTCGTTCGAGTATTCTGCTGAAAACTATCACAGTGACATGGGTACTAGAACTCAATGTATGTATGAGAATATGCAGTTAATATATGATCAAGATTTTTAGGTAATTCAACCTAATGTCTTTATTTGTTTTATCATCTGTGTTTGATAATTTTCATAGTTTTTGTTTTCTATGATTTTTATAAAAATCTATATGCGCAATCATGGCAAGCAAAATTTTTTTATTCTATTTTACTGATATGCGACATGGAAGAAAAGAAAGAAAAAAAAAATCTATAAGCAACGAATTGTTTGTACAAGACATAAGCCGAAATGAATAAGAAAATTATATTTCAAAGAATCAAAAAAAAACAAAAGATAACAATGATGACAGTATGTCCTATTGCAAAAGAGACTGATCTCGAAAAACTGTTTGTCTTATTTGGCTTGATGCTTCAGTAAATACATCAACTGAAAATATCATTACTCAACGAAAATTTCGTTCAATTATTCATTATTTTAAAACATTTTCACATGTTCAAGATTGTGAACAATATATACGACAAAAAACAAAAGATGATCGAATATTTTTAATTGTCAGTGGACGATTTGGTCAAGAAATAGTACCACGTATTCATCAATTTCGACGAATTTTTTCTATTTATGTTTATTATCAAGACAAGGAAAAAAATGAAGAATGGGCTAAAAAATTTATTAAGGTAATTTGTAATATACATATGAATTGTTATAAAACGAAGAAAAGAAAAAGAAACATTTATTGTTCAAGAAAGTTTAGTTGTGATACGAGTACCTTTTTACTTGTATCAATAGTGAATAAAAACATTCGTATTTAATTCAAGTACGACAAATGGTGGTAACTTATATAATCTGTTACATGCTTTTAAAAAATTCACTTAAATATATTACGAATATGCTTTCCTTTTGAATTCAAATGCAAAAAAAAATCATATCTAAACTTATGTACCTTTTTTTTTCTCAGAACATAGTTTTCAATTTGAAAAATTGAATTTTAAAGTTTATTGCAAAATCTCTGATTTCGATGGCATGGTTCTTCTCGCTCAATTCAGGACATAACAAGATTTAATGTCGTGAAATGTTGCTGTCAATATTTTCTAGATGTAATGACCCAAGGTGAAAGAAGGAAGTCCACCATGACCAGATCTTCCCTAAATTTTTATTTTACCTTCTGTCAGAGTTTTGATATTAATGAAGTTAAAGGAATTCTTCTGAATATTATAAATGGACAATAAATAAATCGAAAGTTCGCTTCAGTTTGATATATCAAACTGAAAATTTCATACTTATTTATATTTTATTAGGTGAGTGGTGTATTTAACAAATTAGAGGTACTTATTAATCGAGTTCAATCAGATTATATAAAACGAATTCAATATAAAGTTGATGATCCATTTCCATTAAATATATGTAAAAAAAATAATTTATCAAATAATTTAATTCATGATGAATTTTTTCATTCACAATTACTTGTTGATTATCTTGTTCATATGAAAACATTAGCAAATGATATAACTGAATTTATTAATATATGTTTAAATGAATTTCATTATGATCAATATCAATTATCAATCATTAATGAATTTAAACAAAAATATAATTCAAATAAAGTATTATGGTGGTTTACACAAGATTCATTTATTTATCATTTATTAAGTAAAGCATTAAATATAAAAAATTATAATTTATTAATTCATATGGGATTTTTAATACGTGATATATATGAAAATTTACAAAAATATCAATTAAAATCTTCAATACAAGTTTATCATGGTTAAATAATTTCAATAGATGAATTACAAATATTTAAAAATTCTCTTGAAAATTATATATCAATAAATACATTTATTTCAACTGATTATGATTCTAGAAAAATAATATCATCATTAAATGAATTTTCAATAACAAATGATCTTGTACGAATATTATTTGAAATAAATGTTGATTCTAATATAATGATAATTCAAAACCATTTGCTAATATAACATCATTAACTTGTAATTCTCAACAACAACAACAACAAGTTTTATTTATGGTAGGATCAGTTTTTAAGATTATTGATATACAACAAGATAAAAAATCTAGTCTATGGATAATAAAAATTGTTTTAACAAATATAAAAAAAGAATATGATGATAAAAATCTTATATCATATGGTCATATTTTACAAAAAAAATGGGAAGATATGATGAAGCTGAAACTTTTTGTAATCGTTTATTAAAAGAAATGCCTCAAAATCATGAAGATATTCCTAAATGTTACTATACACTTGGTCATTTAACATTTCTCAAAAGTAATTATGATTTAAGTCTTAATTGGTTTCAAAAATTATTGAATATCTTAAAATCTGATGATCCAATTTTAGCTGATACGTATTATTCCATCGGTTGTGCTTATCAGAATATGTATTATTATAACGAAGCATTACAATATTATCATCAAGCATTAGTGATTTGGGAAGAAACTCATGATAATAATGAACCTCTTCAAATGGCAGCATGTTTAAATAATATGGGTTGTATTTATGAAATAGAAAAATTCTATTCAAAAGCATTAGCATGCCATCAACAAGCTTTATCTGTACGTGATAAATTTCAAACTGATTTAGGTTCATCATATAATAATATTGGTAATATTTATTTATGCCTCGGTGAATATAATGCTGCAATAGAAAATTATGATTATGCATATAAAATTAAAAGTCAATCTCATTCATCACAAGATCCATCTTTAGCAACAACATTAAAAAATATGGCTCTTGCATATGAAGAAGATGGAAATTTTATTGAAGCTTTACAATATTATAAAAAAAGCAGCACTTGCATTTGCAAGCATACTTTCAACAACACACATCTATTATCTTGAAATTCAAGAAGATATTCAACGTATTGCATCATTAATGGAATCTAAAACAATAAAATAATGATTGAAAACTTTTATTTTAAAAATAGTAGATCATGTTATTGCAAGTTTTCTTTTATTAACAAATTGCTCTACAAATTCAATTAATATATGTGAACAAAAACATTGCTATCTCAAGTTATTATTAGACTTTTCAATTTTTGAGATTTTCAATCTTTGTTGATCTATAATAAATAAAATAAGGATAAGAATCATGTTGAATTATAGATTTCAAAAAATATTAAAAAAGAAATCAAAATAATCATAACTGTTCGTACACATACGCCAACAAGCACATGTATTAAAAGCAGCGAATGGTCTTTCTAAAGCTGCATCTGAAAATTACGCTTCTGCGAATCGGACCTGTGTCCTTTCTACTTTGCTATGTTTCTGGTTAAGTTTGTTATTTAGAGTAAATAAAACGAATTTTCACTTCAATCAAATCCAGTTGAGCTTGGATAAAATATAATTTTGTTTATTCCTGTTCGTAGTATGATGCTTGCAAGTTCATTCATAGTTTTTTAATTGAATGTAGCATGAAATACATGTGATAGACTTACTAGGCACTGTTGCGCAGAGATTGTTCATGCTTTTTGGATACCTTTAATCATTGGCACAGATTCAACAACGATCGTTTGCTTCACACAGAATCAATGCTCTAAATTTTATGAAGAAAAGAGTTTATGTTGGTAAAAAGTATACTTGAGCGGTAAATTTCATTTATACAGAACACAACCAACCAGCATATGATGCATGCCAGAGTATTGCTTTTCTTCGGTTATTTTTTTTTCGAAATTTGAAGAAAAAAACAAAACACTTGAAACTCAGGTGAAATGATTCTGAATTGATATAAGTTCCCATCGGTACACGACAGAATCTGACGTTGTTCACAATAGTTGGATTCAACTATAAAATAATTAACAGCCGAGTTTTCATTCCTTTTGTCTATTCTATTCAGATATATCTATGACCACATTCAACGCATTCTCATCCTCAGTTGAGCTGGACAGAAAACGTGTCATTTATCAACCGCTATCAACAACCTCTTCTAGAGGTTCAAACTCCAACAATATTGTATCCGGATGTGTTGGAATCGCTTGCGGAGCATTGGTTTTCATAATTCTTCTTGCTTTGCCGACTGCCATGATAACAGTCGGTGGCTTAAAAGTGAACAATTGTCCAATTTAAAAACGCATTCCAATCTTTCTAATTGGCAGCGGTATCATTTCAATTCTAAATATTGCACTTAATATTGAAACCTTCTTAGAGATCGTGCAGAATTTTCGTAGCCCTGCTTTTTGGCAATTACGAACTAACTTGTGGTCATGCATGGCCATTGGTCTACCGCCCACCCCGCATCGCATTTTGTCCATATTGAGGTAAGTTGCCATATAGTATGTTTGTCTATGAAAATGCTTTTAGATTCAACGATATAATAGGATCGACTATTTTTAGTGCTAAGAATCATACGATCAGGTTCAACTTTTTTTGAGAAGTATCCTCTGCACTGATTCGTCTGATCGACACAGCATGTGACGCAGCTAATAGATGAGGTTGTCCTTACAGTAAATAGATACTAACGGCCAACGATCGATCTAAGTTATCGATTTTATTAAAAAGATTGTAAGGAAATGTTTAGATGTGCAGGTAGATAAGTGAAAATCCTGACGACGCGGCGCGGAAACGTAAATGGCAGCTAGCGTAGAGTTAGAGGCCATGAGAAATATTGCTCAGTGTATGTATGTTTGACTTGCGTGAGCGAACAATATTTAGAGTCTACGCGGTGGCTTTCAGAATTTATTCATTATGTTTTACGTTTCGATCTAAGATAGATTGTCCCGAAAGCGTCTTTGGAAATTTCAATATTCGCTTCACCAACATAGAAGTTTTCATCATACGAGAGAAATGACAATAAGTGTATGAACAGTGAAGTAGTCAAGTGCAACTATCACCCTTCTTTCATCCACCTTTCGATGGTTACTTAGTTTGCAAACTACTGGTTATTGGCTGTAAAACAGAGCACGGTTGTAAGTAACGCAATCTCGAGTTGCCTAAAGATCGTATTACAGCTATTCCATTTTGCATGGATCATTGCTGGTGGTATGTGGATATTCGGAGCTAATGAATCTGTACAGTACAAAAACAAGGCAGTGGCAACTTACTGTGATAAAAGCACATATCAATTCGTTTTTGTGATACTAATTATTCAATCGATTTCCTTTGGTATATTATGCTTTTGTTCGATTATGACGAAAATGTTGCGTGGTAGTTAAAGAAAACTTTGATATTCTACTATGACTTTCTATTAATCAAAGCATCAATCATGACTCTATCCTTGTTCTAATGAAATTTCATTTTTACACACGATTGTATCTACGTTTCATAGGATTTGTATGATGTCCACATGTTCAAAGAAAAAGCTACCCGTCTTACAAATAAAACCCGACGGGATATGAAATGAAGGATTATTTTTGAGCACTCTGCTTCACTACAGATTCTAACTGCTAGTAGTTTTACATACGCATATGAACATGACAATTCCCTTTTAGTAAGAAAGATATTGATTGCAAATATTTCGTTTGTGAAAGCTTATAACTATAGATAATAATGAAAATCTAAATAGAACGTTCTTTATTATCGAAATTCAAATTAAACAAAAAATAGTAAAATGTTATATAGCTGCTGATTAACTTATTATTATGAGTTTTTGACTCTTGCTAGAAGATTTAAATAAAGACAGCATTGTTTCCAAATTGATTATGTGAGGCTTGATTGTGTTACTTGTACTTATGTCTATTCTTCATGAAAATAATCTATTTCAGGCTCCTGCCATGAAAATCGGTCTTGTGCTGCGTATAGTAAAATCATATGAAGCTTTCAACATACACTAGAACTGTAGTGGTGAGGGTATTGGGAAATTCTAAACCCTATATCATGACACTTCCTGCAAATATTCAGTAAGCAGGACCCCAAAATAGTTCATTTGACCCCCCCCCCCCCAAAAAAAAACTCTTTTTTCCCTTTTTTTGGAATACTTATGTTTTATGCGGAGACAAAAGATGAGAAACTCAATACCTCGAAAAGGTCTGAAAATTGGTGGTCTATTTATGACAGTGCTTTTTCATATGATAACAAAAAAAACTTAATTCAAAAGATGGATTCTCTCAGGCGATGGAGTTTCATATGTTCTTTCAAGCAACAAAAAAACAGTAATTGGCCATAATGAAATTCCCTCGAAAATTTTGGAATACACGATCAGAGAAGCACTTAATAAAACAGAAGATGGTGGACATGTTGAACAATTTTAGCCAAAAAACGACATGCAAAATAAAAAAAAACTGATATCGTTTATGGAAGACCAGAGCTCAGAGTATCTTCCCATGTACTTACCTTAATGATGATTTTTCTCACAAAAATAGACTTTTTTAAAGGAACGCGGTAAAACGTCATATTTTGTACTTTCTGGCTATTTTTGAGTATGCAATGTTAGAGCAAAAACAACTAAGCTCATTTTAAAAAAGTTAGCAAAACTAACTTGGTAAGAAGAAACACATACGAAGATCGTTCATTAGTGCTTTCATACGTCGAACATCTGACGTTTTAGGAACAGAAAAAATTTTTTTTTTCTCATTTTCTCAGTTGAAGAATAGTGATGAAAACAAAACTTCAATCCTCTTTGAGAAATGCACATGTTTGATGACTTGCTGCAAATTCATTTAATTTAAAAAAATGGTAAACACGCCGTTTCTACGCTATTTTACTTTTTACTTATTACTTTCTTACCAAATCATTTTTTGTTTACAACAAACTTATCAATCAAATATAGAACTTAGTGATAAAGGTGTGACATTTATTCCCAAAGCTTCACTTGAATTTCCATTAAAAACTCTTACTGTTAAATCGTTAATGTCGTGTGCACAACAGTGTAATCTAAATGTTCTATGCCGAGTATTTGTTTACGATGAAATAACATTGAATTGTCAATTATATCAAAGTGATTTATCATCTGGTAATATTACAACCGTGCCAACATCAACATCACGAGTAGGTTGTATAAGATACCAACCTCAGCTTTATTTAAATTATAATCAAACATGTAATCAATGTCAAGTCAATCGTTATTTAACTTGTCAAAATGCAAGATGTCAATGTCCTCCACCAACAACTTTTTGGAATGGACAGATGTGTCAAAATCAATTGTCGTACGGTGAAACATGTAATTCATCATCTTGGTGTCGACAAGATTGGAATTTAACATGTGTATTCGGATCGTGTCAACCCAATACAGCAAGTAAAAGAAAAAGGCATTCGAGAGAAATATAAATATTGTCCTAATAAAGAAGTCAAGCAAAAATTAGACTTCGTTGATTTATATCTTAATCAATAGAACTTACGACACCGATTACAAATATGGAATTTTAAATTTTTTTTAGACTGCGTTTTCGTTAAAAATACCACAGATCTTTATTTTGAATTCAAAAAAAAATTATTTCAGCGAAAAAATAGTCAGTATAAGTTAGAGCAATATTTGATTTTCAACGAGGAAATGGCTAATTTTTGTTTTCATTGAGACGATTTGTTTATTCTTACATTTATTGCATAAAATACCATTTGAGTATTTAAAAAAACTATATCTGTAATCAGCGTCGTCAGTTCTATTCACTCATGTATAATTCAACAAAATCTAATTTTTGTTTAACTTTTGCATCAGTGACACCTTACATACACATAGTCCGACTAATTGAATAGAATCCTATAAGAATATTGCAAACAAAGCAGTAGACTGTCAGTGTGATAAAACATCTCTGTTTTGAAAATTTTCACGGAGAAAAAAATCTCAAGTCTATGCAAGAAATAAAAATTAGCAACATTTCACATGCTTTCTATTGCTACCAGGTCGTGTGTTAATAAAATAAAATAAGCAATGGAACTATCTTACAACTTCGTAATTCTTATCAAATGAGATATGTATATTATTGATGGTAAATAAATTATATGAGACTGAAACTTAAGTAATTATTCATGACAGTAGAACGCTGTCAAGCTCTTCATGTATAATGAAATCGATTCACGTAAATAAACTCGAAACAGACTTACATCAAGTTTTAAGAACTAATTGGTCCATATTTCACTATATTTTATTGAAAATCGTAGTGCAGACATGGACAATCTACTAAGAAATAATTCATTTTCAGTTACTAATCCAATCAGTAAGAGTGAGCTAAAGATAATTTAATAATTAATTCTTAGATTGTGTCACAAGATCTGTACCATAATTCAGTGTACACTGCCCATAGTGAAACGGTAGAAATCTTTGAAAAGTGACCACCCAACATGTGATTTTCTCCCTGCTAGAATGAAATGTCTGAATTTTGATAAGTTTGATTAGTTCTAGTTGAAAGTAAATGGACTCTTAGTGTCATAGATACCAGAGCGAATGTAAAAGCTCTTTCAATCCAGCTTGCATTTCGAATTCATCTATCTGCATCACTGAAATGCTACAGTACAAAAGGAAGATTCAATAATCAATCAATTTTCAAACAAAGAGAGATCGAGCACATTCGACTGTTTATTCATCAGGGCAAATCAATGTACCGCTATTGTGATAGTTCATATCAATGCCAATATTTAACTTTTTAGATGTAGTCTACATTTTTAGTTATTCAAAATCGAAAAGAAACTTTAATTAATTAGAATAGTATCGAATTGTTTTTGTTTGATAGAAACAATGACACTTTCATGATTAATACGACTTCAAATAGACATGTTAGCTGTCTGCAACTCATTTCACATGGACTCTGATATTGGCAGAAAATATCTTTTAGTTTTTCGTATATCACTACGATTTTGAACCTGCAGCGGTACCAGCGTTCTATTGCTCTAGACTACAAATACTCGAAAGTCTGGCATACATATGCCGCAAAACCTTTTTACATTGAATCTTGCCTTAGTTTCCGTGAAACTTGACTGAATGTTCATTCAGATTCATATAGACAGTAATTAATTATGTTGAATCCACTGAAAATATTTACTTTCATCTTGAAAATGCTGTAGCATGATTGAATCAAGTGTTTTGATGAAGTATCATATGAGAAATGAAGAATTCTCATGTTATTATTTCATTTTTCTTTCCAAAGAAAAAGATATCTCATCAATAGGCTCACCATAGTTAAATTCTCTTTTTCGATCTCCATAATCATTTGCCTAGTGTTGAAACAACCAAAAAATGATCTCTAAATTCGGAATTCAAATGCTAGAAATATGAACATTCACTTATTTATTATATGACCATGTTAAGGTGGTAAATTGCATGGCGAAATATTCTCATGAGATTCATTTTAAGATAATCATTTAGAATTATTTAATAGTATATCTGTTTTCTTTCTGCATACTGAAACCTGCAGAAGAATTACAACTTACAATTGAGTTCGTTCTAGTATAAATAACACCTCTCAGGCTCAAGATATCAATTTATAGAAAAGTAAGTATTGTGAAGTATTTTCTACAGACCAAACAGATACACCTTGAGGCGATGAAGTGTGCTGATACTTATTGACAAAAACATTTAGTAGTGAATCAAAGGCTACTCAGGTACTCCTATCTAATGGAGCGTACTACAGAAACTCACATAGAACATGTCTCTAGCTAGAGTATTTCAATACTTGAATTCATCTTTCAAGTTAGACACCTCTAGGAATTGTGTCCATTGAGAGATAGTGAATATAGGACGAACTCAGTTGAAGGTAGAAGAAGTGGAAATAAATGACAAAATATATATATAACCGAATAAAAGCCACTTTCAAGACAAATAGTAATTGAACATATTTTCGCGTCAGAAAAAAAGACGGTTTTTCAGCCAATCCTATGACAAACTTATTTTGTTTTTTAATAATAATAATTCAAGTTTTAAATGTTTGTAGTCTGCAAACTGGGCGCAACAGCAATCACATTTGATGATAATTTTCTTAGTATTAGTGGCGCAAATGGTATTATTCCGTCAACGTATAAGAATCTCAGCTGGACAAATGCAAAATATTTAAATGCAACTGGATTTTCCACTACTGGTTATCGATATGTTTGTGTGTCTGGTGAATATGTCTGCTGGTTCAATACTCCTATGACAATAGAAACATTGACAGTAAATAAAACATTTACAATAAATTCATTTGTAACAGCTGCTGGATGGTCCAATTCGATATCTTTAAGTATTACTGGATATTTTTCTTCCACACAAATTTATACAACTACATTCTCATTGAATACATATACACAAAGAATAGTCGAATTAAATTGGTCCGGAATAACAAAAATTGTATTCAATCCATTTGGATCAGGATATTACGATACTGGAATTGATAATTTATGCATTACGTTTTAAAAATAAAACGCAAATCTACCAAATAGACATTATCCATGTTGGTGTCTATCAATTACTTTACCAAACATAAGTTTTGGACTTCTCTCTATTCTATCATTATATAATTACCTTCATTAAATAAAAATTGTAAAATTTATTTACGATTGTAGTACTCATCTATTTCAAATACAGCCAAATCGACAATGTCTCTCAAAATTAAGAAAATTTTAGCTGTTAAAACAAATTTTTTTTCGTAAAAAAAAAACTGAAGCTCAATGTTTTATGCATTAAGTGATCTTTATAGAATATCTATTGTGACGTTCCATGAGATGCTACACTTTTCGAGAAGAAAGTAGTAGAGAACTTTATCTGACTTAAAACTTTTTTGAAGCCGTAAAGTTCATAAAAATACATTTGATCTATTTCTTATGATACAAATGCACTGTTATATGCGTTTCTTAAAAATAAAATCTAGTGATCCAAATGAATTATTACTTGTCTACTAACTTTTTACTGATTTTTCCATTAAATTTGTAATACTTACCATGAAAATATCAAAGTGTGCTCAGAAAAACCGATTCCTATATTTGTTAGCATATTATTTTATTTGGATTACTTTTCCTATCATAAATAAAACAACAATGAGAATTATGTGTAATTACACATCTAAAAAAACTATTAACAAAAAGAAATCACAAATATTTTGACATTGATGAATCAGTATTGAAAAAAAATAGAATCCTGTATCCACATCAAGAGAGAAATTAAATGTGAAAAAAATCATTGTATGAATGACTCACAAGGAAGCGTCTCCAGATGTCAATACATCTTTGAATCAGGAACTAATTCATTATATAAACCTAAACGAACCATGGATATGTTTTCTTTTTTT